AAAAAACCCAGTTGAATTATCGGAAGATCTTGACGAATAAAGCGCGATCCGTGTATAATTTACACGAAATACGCATTCTCCAAACGCAAGATCAAATGGGTCTTCGTGCAGGGAAAGAAATTGATGATTGCCTGAGAGATGAAAAAAAAAAATGGAAAATTTGTTGTTCTGTGTGAGCAGAGGAGACAAAATCTATATATATATTAAAGCGGAGCAGCTGCCAAATTCCCGCTCAAAATCTACATTAAATGTTTGCACATTATTTGATAACTAATCTCTTCTTAAATTTTGCATTAAATTTTTACTTAGTATTAAATTTGAGAATAATGAATACATTTGTTTCATGTATGTTAGGAAACCGTGCATAGCTCTTAATTTTTGTCTATCATGTTTAATGTACACTTAGGTAGCTTGGGAAAAAAAAAATCATCCAAAACTACATTTCTCATTTTGATAAAAATTTTGACAATTTCTAAGTATGATATAATTAAGTTTATATTTAATTGTGCATTGGGACTTGCACGTGGAAAATTCAAACAACAAAAAATTATTATGTGTACAAAAACTTAATTAAAAAATAGAATTATCATTATAGATAGTTTATGTATAATAATTCAAATATATTATGTTATTTTTTATAATCATATATAGAGTGAAAATAATATACACAAAATATACTTTAAGGTGGTTATCTATTTTAGTTATAATAAAAGGGCTCCAATAGTTTACGACTTAATAGAATAACATGCTAATTATTGGTGATATTTTCTAAATATCTAAAATTTAATACAAAATTCATTCACATGGTTAGTAAAAAATTGCAAACTTACACAACTAAATTTCATATTTGTTTATTTTTATTTTATTTTCTAATAAATTATTTTAAAAATAATAAAAAAAGAAAGATAGAGAGAGAAAGAATGGAGTTATATCTGTTATAAATAAAGTAATTTATTCTAAAAGGAATAAAATTTTTAAAATAAAATAAAATAAAAAGCACCATCTATAGGCATTAAGGACGAACTTGCATGTCCATATGAAATATATATCTAAAACACAAAATAACCTTTATATGGTCCAAAAAAAAAAAAATATTAATTTAGGTTCTTTTACAAATATCAACCATGAATATGAACAAACGAAACAAAAAAAAAAAAAAAGATATAAGCAAACTTAGAATTCGAACATGATATCTAAACTTAATTTTATTTATGAATTAAAAATGGATGATATTTCAGAACTGATATTAAAAAAATAAAAATGATAACATACAAATGGGGAGAGTGACATTATTTCAAAGAGGTATAACTCATGTCATTAACTATGAAGATTGAAGAAAAACTTATACTGAATTTGGTTTGATTGAAGGTGTTCATTGGCCCGAAAATATAAAGTTTGTTTACTTTATTTATTTTTAGTTAGTATAATTTTTTATTTTTTGTCAATTTATTGAATAGGCCATCTCAACATGTTCATACATTTTTTTTTTATCATTTATCACATGTGTTAGTTTTACTTTTTATCATTTTAGAGTTATATATTACATTTAAATATTTTATTATTATTGGTTAACAATAACTCCCTCAATATGTATTTCTGACAAAGTAAGTTAAATTATGATTATCATAAATTCAATGCAAAATAAATGTTGGCTATTGATCGATCCATTGACATTTATCATCTTGATCGTTACCTTATTATGACCTGAAAATCTACAGAAAAATAAAAACATCTTGAAATTATATAATTTATTATATATAGACATTTGTACTTTTATTTTTCAACTTCTAGATGGACATAAAGTGATACAATTTGTATACAAAATAAAAATTAGATGATTTAGTTTTGAACATTACATCGGAATTTGGTTTCATTTATGAGTAAGAAATGGACTAATATTGTGGAGTTATATTGTAAAAAAAAAAAAAGGAAATGATATAAAAAGAGAGAGAGAGTCTCAAGTCTCAACCATAAGAGATGAGAAAAAAATAATGACGATATAGTTTTGACTCGAAAGAATGATTACGACAATGTATATTTATTATCCAATTATTTAGTTGATTTTTTGTTATATATGAGACATATTATATGGGTTTTAGTTCATTTGATTGAATTGGTTGAGCTTAAAATAAATAGTTGTTTTAATTTATTTATTTTTAATCGATATCATTTTTTATTGAGACCGACATCTGAGGTCATTTAAATGGCTGTGATTAAAGTGGTTGCCCTCATTTTAATTTATTTATTTATTCATAATTATTCAACTATAATTTTTTATATATAAATATGGAATAATGTATTAATTATTGTTAATTTTTTGTTATTATAACACATATTTTGTTAAAAGAATGATGATAATATAATATCGCTACTAATTTTTGGCAATAAAATTCAATAAGGCTTACTATAATACATCAACTACTTTTTTCTTATCATATATCATAAATATTAGTTTTATAAAAATAATATACATTTTTATAATATATATAGTGTATTTTGTATGTATTCTTTTTTATCTTATGAATTCACTTCCAAAAATTATATTAAATTTTATTTCACATTAACTGCGCGCAAAAGTAAATAACTTTGTTATTAACATGAATATTAACGATTACTGTGCCTATTTGTAAGTTTGCAAAAGGTGATCCATCTTGCATGTTAGTCTGAAAAAATTATTAAAATTTATTTAGATAATTAAAAAAAAAAAGAGAGAAAAATATGTGGACCTAATTTGAAACATGCAGTTCAAATTGAGTCATTTTTGTTTTTTATTTTACTTATTCAAATTATATTTTTTAATTGGATTATATTTCCACATGTTTATTTCAATTATTTCATATCAGTTTACCTATATAATAGTAAGAATGTCTTTATTATGCGAGAATGATGAAGTTTCAAGGAGTATAATTAATGTGAAAAATATTTTTCGTTGAATATCATAAATTATTATTTTAATTTAATTATATATTTTTTTTTAAAAAAAATATATGGTATTTTGTACTCACAACCAGTTATATGTTGTTTTCGGGAGTCACCGATTCCAATTGTTTGATGATTGTTATTTATGATAATGGTTATAATGAATACATTTCATCGATTACTAAGATTATATTCATGAGAATATCTTGAATATATTAAATAAAATATTTATCTTACTTTTTATTAACTCTATACATGTTTTATGCATATCAAATTATAATTCACCCAAATTATTTTTAATGTCAAGCGGCGCAACGCGCGGGTCACGTACTAGTTGATGTTAATGCGTGGTGGATTATTGAGCAAATAAAGCACGTGTTTTTGGTTCTTTGGATTGGTGATGGCGACAAAAATTAGTAGAAACAAATTCTCCTTTTGAGTTCCAAACGAGAGTGATGGGTTGTCAATTTATGTTTGTAATATTTTCTTAAATTTAAATCTAATAATTAGGAGAATAAAATATATGGAAAGAATACGGAATGATGCGGGACTATAGTATTTCTCTAAAATATATTTTTTTCTTAAATTTACATAGTAATTAAGAGAATAAAATATAGATAGATTATGGTGTATTTAATTCAGACTTTTTAAAATTTTCAAAAGTATAGAGGTATTCATTGTGTAAGAAATAGGGAAAACGAATGCGGTCCTACATACGTGAAGCGCACCATGAGTAGGAAAGACCAAGTTGAAACTCAAGTGAAGTTCCATCCCGTCACCATGAGCAGAGAAGACCCAGATGAAGTTCAAGTGAGGTTTCATCCCCAAACTAAGTGGTGGAAGGAGGAGTAGCTGATTAGACTTATAAATTAAGCTTACTTTCACAATATAAATGATGTGGAAAACTCTCAAGTGAATATTCTTATGCGATCTCTCACTTGTGAGTCTTTAATAAAAAATCTCAACCCAGATACGGAGTCGGGTGCCTAAGCCCTACTAGAAGCAGACTGGGTAAACGAACTACTAGAAGCATGCTGGGTAAACGGGTACGTCATCGCACGGTTCTACATAGAACCGACTCTGATACCATGTAAGAAACGGGAGAAAACGGGTGTCCCTCACTTGTGAGTCCTTAATAAGAAAGCTCAAGCCCAAATAAGGAGTCGGGTGCCCAAATCCTACTAGAAGCAGGCTGGGTAAACGGGTACGTCATCACACGGTTCCACATAGAACCGGCTCTGATACCATGTAAGAAACGGGATGAAAACGGGTGTTGTCCCACGTACCATAAGCAGGGAAAACCCATATGAAACCCAAGTCCTTGCGGCCCCACGAATATGAAGCGCACCAAGACAGTGAAAGTTCAAGTGAGATTCCAGTCCAAAACCAATTGGTGGTAGGAGTAGCAATTAGGCTTATTTTCCTTATATAAACGATGTGGGACAACTCACAAGTGAATATTCTCATAATTTGAAATTTTAAAAGTCAAAATGTAGAGATAGAGGTATTTTTAACTTATCTAATATTTTAATTTGTTAAATAACTTAATAAGATTTCTTGAGATTTCGAAAGAAAAAACCAAATACGAAATTTACAATTGCATATGTTTTTTTATGTAATTTGAATAGTACGATCAAGCAAAAAAAAAATATAGAAATATTGTACTTATTATTATTATTATTATTAAGGCTGTGACAGTATAATAATAATTTAAAAATGGCCAAATAATAGAAATTATGATAGTTGACCGGCTTAAAAAATTACAGAATATGAAAAATTAAAAAGAAATAAAATAAAAATAAGGGTCCTACATAGAACCGGCTCTGATACCATGTAAGAAACGGGAGGAAAACGGGTGTTGTCCCACGTACCATAAGCAGAGAAAACCCATATGAAGTCCAAGTCCTTGCGGTCCCACGAATATGAAGCGCACCAAGACAGTGGAAGTTCAAGTGAGATTCCAGTCCAAAACCAATTGGTGATAGGAGTAGCAATTGGGCTTATTTTCCTTATATAAACGATGTGGGACAACTCACAAGTGAATATTTTCATAATTTGAAATTTTAGAAGTCAAAATGTAGAGGTAGAGGTATTTTTAACTTATCTAATATTTGAATTTGCTAAAACTTAATAAGATTTCTTGAGATTTCAAAAGAAAAAACAAAATACGAAATTTACAATTGCATATGTTTTTTTATATAATTTGAATAGTACGATCAAGCAAAAAAAAAAATAGAAATATTGTACTTATTATTATTATTAAGGCTGTGACAGTAGAATAATAATTTAAAAATGGCCAAATAATAGAAATTACGATAGTTGACCGACTTAAAAAATTACAGAATATGAAAAATTAAAAAGAAATAAAATAAAAATAGGGGTCCCACATAGAACCGACTCTGATACCATGTAAGAAACGAGAGGAAAACGGGTGTTGTCCCACGTACCATAAGCACGGAAAACCCATATGAAGCCCAAGTTCTTGCGGTCCCATGGATATGAAACGCACCAAGACAGTGAAAGTTCAAGTGAAATTCCAGTCCGAAACCAATTGGTGGTATGAGTAGCAATTAGGCTTATTTTTCTTATATAAACGATGTGGGACAACTCACAAGTGAATATTCTCATAATTTGAAATTTTAAAAGTCAAAATGTAGAGGTAGAGGTATTTTTAACTTATCTAATATTTGAATTTGCTAAAACTTAATAAGATTTCTTGAGATTTCAAAAGAAAAAACCAAATACGAAATTTACAATTGCATATGTTTTTTTTTATATAATTTGAATTGAATTGTACGATCAAGCAAAAAAAAATATAGAGATATTGTACTTATTATTATTATTAAGGCTGTGACAGTAGAATAATAATTTAAAAAATGGCCAAATAATAGAAATTACGATAGTTGACCGGCTTAAAAATTACAGAATATGAAAAATTAAAAAGAAACAAAATAAAAATAGCACACGCCCGGTGGGACTCGAACCCACAATCGCCTGATTAGAAGTCAGGCGCCTTATCCATTAGGCCACGAGCGCTTGTTGTTAATATATAATACTTTATAAAATTAACAACTTCGCAAATTTCCAACATAGAAAAGTTTTTTTTTTCATTTTTTTTTTATTATTTAACCACATTTTTATATTTCCACACCAAATTAATTACAATTCACAATTTTTTATTTTCTTTTTCCAAGATTGCAAACACAGAATAATTCCTCTATCTTCCCTCAAATTCAAATGTGACAGCTCTAGATATCCCCCATGAAGTGCTCCACAATTCCATCCACACAAACCAGAAAGTAATGTTCAATCACATTTTCCTTCTTTTCTCCTCTTTTTCCTGAAAATTTTGTTCAGTCACACACATCTTTCTCTTATCACTACTTTGCTTTAATCACATGTTTGAAAAATTGTAGGTGCTGAGTCAAAAAAAACCTGTCATAAAACCGAAAGCTCCATTCACCTAAAGTGACATCGACTAAAAGCTTCACAAGACCAAAACTCGAAAGCACACGGTAAATACAACACACGATCGCAAAATATATAAAGCCCGTCACAACAACAATACTAAGCTAAAAAGAGTTCACACAAAGGGTTTTTGCTAACCGATAACTAGTCTAAGTTCTACAGCTAAAGTATCATAATATTACCGAGCATCAAACTAGGAAGTCCACAGCAAACACAAAAGTCACACGAACCAATACCGTAAAAAAATATAGAGTGGTGCATCTATATACGGCACAACACTCGTTTTGCTTCTGTACATAAATATATCGGTCGAGATCATTATGTTTGGCTGACGTTTGTAGCTTCGAGTTTACCAAGGCCCAGTTAGTGTCCTCCTCAAGCATACTCTTTTCTCTCCCCAGGGCTTATTCATTTTCTCCAGAATCTGTGGACCAAAAAAGAAATGAACAAAACAAAAAGGATCCTCGAAGATGAAAGAACGAACGAACATAAAAGATTATCAATATGATCACAAAGACACCATGGGTGAACCAATGTATGCGGAAGTTTATTCCTTTATGGTCATGTGCTCGTTTGAGCTTTTCTATTTATGGTCAGGAATGATTAGAAATATTTGATCCGTAGACGTAATAATAAATTGGCACTTTTGCACCAAAAATCATATCATGATTTCTTTTTTTTTTTTT